CACCAACGGGCTTTGCTCCTCAGAGCTCTCTTCCATGATGCCGCCGCGCGATGTGCCTGCCAGACAGACCCGCCTGACTTCGGCGTCCCATCCTAACCGTGTCAAACTTCGTACATCCAGAACTGGCCGATACGACCGCTCCTTTGTCCCGAGGGTGTCTAGATTGTGGAACAAACTACGGGAGGAAGCTTTTCCCAGTTCTACTAACCTTAGGCAGTTCAAAAATCGTATTAACAAAATTTCTTTGGGATCATCATAGCAGCCGCGGTGTTCCGGCATTTAGGCTTCTGCCTGCGCGGCTGTTTCGATATAAAAAAAAAAAAAAAAGTTTCTGAAATGGTTACATGGGGGCGTAAGTGTAAAGTTGAATCTAAAAATGTGATGTTTCTGTGAATTCAGCTATACTAACATAACAAAAAACTAGCTGATATCGAAGTTCAAGAATAATCTGAACGTTTTTTGTTTGACAATTTTTATTGTATCTCTAAAAATAGTGTTGAGAGGTATTCGAGAGTTTCCGTAAGAAACACCCTGTATCTTCGAGACGATACGTTATTTGTTTTGACTAGGTATCTGTTTTGTTGCATCCGATGATCTGCTTCTATTAATTGTTGGCAACCCTGTACGTGTTTCCGAAACGTTATGAGGCTTGGGCTATCATGGTTTGGCTCGGATGTGATGTAACGTCTTTTTTTTTTTTTTTTTATACTCCAACTACCACGAAGGCCTAAGGCCTAAACACCCATTGGGTACCGTGGGGCTATGGGAGATACATGGGAAAAGGGGGGACGCCACACGGACTCTGGCGAGGGAACACGTGTGCATGCAACATGCACACATTCTGGCTCCGCCTACAAGAACCGCCGGGTGGTACCTCCGCGTTTGACAGTCAGAGACCATCTACCACCTACGGACAATCACAACATCCATGGCCAAGAGAAACATTTCTCCTGGGACGGGACTCGAACCCGCACAGCGCACGGCGGCTGATCAGGAGACCAAAGAGTCTACTACTGCGGCCACCGCTGCTGCCTAAAACAAACACACAACATCCATGGCGAAGGCGAGATTCGAACTCGCGGCCCGGCCGGCCGGCTGATCAGTAGCACGACACTCTGACCCACGCGGCCAACCGAGGCCCTCTGCGTCAGAGATGACAAGTCTAAGCTGTAACTTGTTTACTATAAGCTGGAAGGAAACGGGCGCATAGGTGCTTAGTAAGGATTTGTGTGCTAATAATCTGTTCATTGGTCTCTTGCCTCAAATACACTTTACTTGGGATGCATGGTTCATCCTGGAGATTACATATAAAATTAGCAGGATTTCCAAAAAGGAGTGTGAAAAGGAAAATCCATATATCCGAAATATTTATGGAACGTGAAAAGATTATTATATTTTACATTATTTTTATTTCCAGTCATTTAAATTTTATGGAAATTGATTTTGCTATGTCAAGCAGAAAATACAAACTAGCGTCTAGGTGTGAAACACTGCGAAATTGTTTTGTATGTGCTGCGTGATTCCTAATTTTTCTGCGATGTGGGTTGATTACACATGACGCGGGTGCGGTGGCGATTTCCCATAATGCTTCTCAAAGTTCTTGCAAACTCAAAAAATCCAGGGAAAATCGTAATTTATACCAGTAAACATAACCTCTGTCCAGTAAGGGAAACACAAGTGACCCGTCTAGTACAGCTAACAGATATACTCCATGGGCAGCCTGTTTAGTGATAATATTCTCACATAGCAAATAACACTGATTTTATTTGCACACTACGAGCTATCTAGTCAGCAAGTTGGCATTTTGTCGTACTGAAGAAGATTGCCAGGACTATATAAGTCGAGGTGGGAGGTGCTTTGAGGTGCACAAAAACCAGTAATGTGTAGACTAAAAATTTAAATATGAAGCCGATTATCTACAAGTTGCATCAACTGATATACGCGTACCATTTCTAAATGTTATAAGAATCGTGCAGCACGCAGTAAGAAAAACAGCAGTAACAGACAGGCCAACAAACTGACAAACAAAACGATCCAACAAATCTAAAATGTTCTTGATGACAATACCTGTGCGTGGTATGCGTAGGAAGAAATAATAACAACAGATGGAGTTAAGTAGGTTGACCCTGCATTTCCCACGCAACGCTGTTGTCAGTTCATACAGAATTGTGCTTAGCACAAACTGGACTCTCCAAGAAAAGTCATTCAAACAGAACCATACGATTAGTTCATAGAAATTATTTCCCTGCCCTACCGGTAGTGCAACTGTAAACGTCACTGACCCCGGTCAGTGTAGCAGCGCAATCACAGCATAGGAAACACTATGCTGTGATGCAGCATAAATACGTGTGATACCATATCAGAATAACAGAGCATTATGCAAACGCAGCCGGTAGGTACCCGATTTGTCTACCGAGATAATTGTTTATGGGCTAATGTACAGATAATTCTATGATGTGTGAAATATGTCTAATAGGTGCTTAGAATTACCAAGTTTGGGAGCGTATTATGTCCTAACATGAAAAAAAAATGAGATAAACTCTCCCCACTTTCAACCACAAGTTCTGTAACTCTGAATTTGTTTCAAACTTGATCAGTATCCTCTGAGACATAGAAAAAACGTCGTTTGAGCGATTCCTACTTTTCGTTCGGTTCAGGCTTTTTTCTCTGTCGCCACTAAACCGATTTCCAAAAATTCTTTTGCATCCTTGGCATAGTAGTAACATTTTGCAAATATTTCATCGGAATCCGAGCGGTAATTATCAAGGCATAGGCGGTAATAAGTTAGCGGACCGACCGACAGACTGACAAGTAGACCGACGGAAAAGAGTGACATGTTTTTTCGTGGTATACATCCAGAAAACATAATCTAATTTTCGAAAATTTTCGCGATTAGAATGCTTCCCTGTCAGAAGGCATGGGAAGTAAAAACGGTGGTATCGGAAATGACAAATAAAGTCATGAAAATTACATTGAAAAATATTACAAAACATGTTTGCTAATCCTACCAAACGTGGTCGTGATTGTTTTCGACGCGTTTTAGTAAACATTAAAAACTCACTGCCTACTATTTTCGTGTAACAGTTAGGTATATAAACAGAGTGGGATATTGAGCCAGTTTGTTTTTTCGTGTATTCAATATGCATTTTCCCAGTTTACCGAAAATGTGATGCACAGCGATGAACTCTGCTTACATAAACACATGACGATGAGGATGTCGTTAACATGTGTTTTACGTTGGGAATACTTTTTTTGTGACTGATCATTACGCTTCTGCATAGCTTGTTCGTCACGACTCCCCACATTGATTATTGTTTTGACGTTTACACCAACCGAATCCTCAGTACAGCATTAAATACAGACAAGGTTCGGTTCTGAGTTTGTTGAGCATTCATAACTAAAATTTATCTCGGCTGATTTTTTAAATAAATATGTTACAAATCACAGCAGTTATTGGCTGCGATGACATACCATCGTGTAACTAAGATTATTTTCACCGTAACTGACCTGCTGGGGATAGTATTTGCTCATCCGTCGTTAAGATGATTCCTTTTTTCATGATTATTTCATCGGGTCAACCTTTAAGACTCTTTGCTTGCGTGATTCAATATTAGGGAATAAAATTAAAATGTAAACGGAAAATATTTACAATCCTGTAATGCGGACAAAAGCGGTATCGCCTACATACGTTTAGCCAATGCTTGTATTTACTCTTTACTCCACCTCTAACTGACCACAGATTAATATCGTTACGTGCTCTATTTAAGTTCTATGCCAAGAAATAACCCAAAGCAGTGGTAATGGTGCCCGATTGCGCTAGTGTGGTTGGAGTCTGAACTGTCGAAAGTAGATAGCAAAAGGCAGATTTGAAGGAACCTATATTTCACGATACCTCATCACGTTTTTATATTTATTGAACAGCCGATCAGCGATTGGACGGGACAATAAGCAGTCTGCTAAAGCATATCACATACAATAGCGCTTTGTTTCAGGCGCTAAGTCAGCGATTGAGAACGTAGACAGCAATCGCTTCCAAGAACTACTAGGAAATTGATTGCTTCCTATAAATGATTCTATATTGGCCCAAATTTCAGTGGAAATATTCTTGACTAATTGTTCAGAATTTGCGGTAACCCTTTCTTAAATATACGAACATTCGACGAACGGCTGTTTCTCATACAATTTACGCATAACGTGGTAATCGATGGAAGGGCAGAAAGGAATTCCAAATGTCTCATTAACAGAGATGAAAGGAAAATATTGCTTTCATTGAAATTTATTGTCTCAACCATCATCGCTTTCAGGAATTTTAATGCATCTTTTGAACGTTTTTAAAAGAAAATTGAAGGAAAATGATCGTTTCGCATTACTCCGATTTGGTCCCTTGCGAATCATACCTTTTCCTTTTTCTAGAAATACAGTGTAGATCGATGCATATTATACAGAAAATTACGAGAGAAACAAACCGTTCTTTGAATTACCTGAAAGTCAAAGATTCTGATAAATTATTTAGGGAAAAGGTTAAACAAATAATATTTTGAGTATATAAATATACAGGTGATTCAGAAACAGTGATAATATTTCAAGAGTTGAAAGTACTTCCAAAAATGACAAAAAAAAATTGTAAAAATAGGTCCCAGAATGTTTTACTACCAATACATAAGGTGTCCTAATGCCACTGACGAGACTGAATAAGAACAAAACATAACTCTCTCAAACACTTCATTTTCCATGTCAAAAAATACTAACTTCAGCAAAATTTTCAAGGTAGAACTGGCTGAAGTCCTGAATAAGAATTTTACCTCAATATTTAAGCAAAATTAATTAATTAAATAGTTTATTAAAAAAAGTCAGTGACCTGGAAGAACATTTTTTTTCTAGGGATCAAAATTTCCTATCTACTCCACTGTTGCAGTTTGAAACGAATATATCGCGTCACTTTTGAGCCTACTTTCTACCCTAGAGCAATTTTCTGAGTCAGCCTTATTTCTCTGAAATCTTCATTTGATTTCCGTTCGTAAATACCTATTGCTATCCATAGTAATTCGAGTCCATCTACCAAGATTACAGAAAAAAATACACTCACCTTTGTTGCTGGGTATTATATCCGGATTTTTGTCATCTTTTTCAAAGTCGGAGTCAGACCGTAAGGATGCATTTGCCTTATCTTTGACGGGCAGGAAACCTGGCCTCAGCATCCTAGATGAGCTGCCTCTCGCTGCCCGAATTTTCAGTGCCCCAAGGGTTACCACAGCTACAAGCAGTAGGGCAGTCACAATACCCACGAGGATGCCGAGGATTGGAGCAATGTCCATTCGGTCTCTTGTGTCCAATGATAGTACTGCAAAAGCAAAGTTTGGCCTATATGTAAGCAGCAGTTAACCATCGAGTTCGGCTAGATAATTGAAACTACCTATAGCATGATACGTTCGTATTGGAGCTGGAGCTTAGAACTTAAGTTTTAAAAGAATACATAATGAGACTTTAAAGTACACTACAACAACAAAGAGAACATTGAAAATGCTATTGTATATATCCATGTAAACAGGGACTAAACGTTATGATAGTCATTATTTAAATGGGTGATAGAGGGGGTTAAAAGAAGCAAAAAGTTTCATATAACATGGGGGTCAAAATCGCATTTTTTAGAGAAAAGCGACTTTAGAGTAAAATAAAAGCTGACCTACGCCGCAATGCCAGACGTAAATTACGACGGAACGCAGTGGAGTTTGTTATTTTTGGCTCTTAGGTATTATTTCATTATTTGATAATGTCCTCGTAAAATGCAAACGATTTAAAGCACGGTCTTACCACTAACAGCGCTTCACCTGGTGTGTGAAAGTTTATTGAACGTATTAAAAAATCCACTCATAAATAGAGAACACAATTTTGGTACCTACATTGTTTTTCTTTTTAAAACCCACACTATTTCAAGAAGGTATTCAAAATGTCGTCCTCCACTATCCACACAAGCTTCATTACGATGAACCAAGTTTTTTCTTACTATAGGTCCTCGAAGTTGTCCATTTATTATTTCAACCGCATTAAATTTTTTTTCGCGAAGTTGTGCTTCAGTTGTTGGTGGAGCAGCCCCATAAACCATCTCTTTAAGTTCTCCCCAATACCAGATATCCTTCGGATTGAGGTCAGGAAATCTTGCTGACAATTTTCGAGGATCAGGAGTATTTCGACCGATCCAGCGATTTGGATAATGTTCATTCAAATACTGAATGACGCCTCTAAAAATGTGTGGTGGTGCCCCGTCATGAAGAAACCACAAAAGTTCTGGTAGGTTATTGGCTAGAAAGCTAAGGTATCCTTCTCCTGACAACTTTGGGGGTAACGCGAAAGGACCAATTACCTGATCGTCAAGAATACCCAGCTAAATATTTATTTTAAAACGTTGTTGGAAATGAGCCTCACGAATGATATGAGGACTTTCTTGGGTCCACGTGTGAGAATTATGGAAATTTAATATCCCGTCTCGCTTAAAAGTACATTCGTCCATCGCTAGAAAATCAGGATTTTTCATGTTTTTATGCAAAAACCATTGTCAGAATGTTAGTCTGCGAGGATAGACTTCTGCTAACAAGGCCTGCACTCGTTGTACATAGTAGGGACAAAGCAAATTTTCCCGTAGGATTCTATGGACTATGGTATGCGATAATCCTACGCGGCGGCCTAATTCCCGAGTGCTAACATCTGCATTGATTTTCAGAATATTTAAAATTTGTTCCTCCTGCTCTACAGTAACCTGTCTCTCACGAGTGCAAACAGTAGTGGGCTGAACACTTCCTGTATCTCGAAGTGTTTGGGACTCTTGCACAAATGTCCTTCTGTCTGCGTGTAGGCGAAATCTGTCGCGATAAATTTGAGCTGCAAGATTTGGATTCTGACGAGCTACATCGTAAACTAACAACATGTCGGCGAACTCTTGATTCGAGAACATTGTAAACAACACGCCCGATGCCCGATAACTGACTACTGTTACCGTTCGCGATCGATTGCCGGTTCGATAAGAGGGATGATGACCGACGCGCTGTTGTCATGTGTCTTTTAAATATTCAATTTAATGAAACTTACTTCCTTACTGACTACAAATTTTGGCTTAACTTAGAAAAACTTATTGCCATTTATTTGTTAACTATCCAATTTAAAAACGATTTAGATTAGATTATAAAAATTAGTAAGATTGTGGTGATTGTGGTCAATATAAGGCACTTAAAGTTGTAAACTATAAAGCCATTTAGCCAAAAATCTATTAACTTTTGGACCATGTACTTTTTGACTTCTTTTGACCCCCCTATTACCCATCTCAGTAATGACTACCATAATGTTAACACCCTGTATATTGACTATACGACAAATTTCAACTAAAGCAAAATAAAAAAGAATCTAATTCACCACACAATTGTTTCGGTTACTTTTATACATAGGACCCATGGTTTGCGAATTCTTTTATCAAACACGATTATCAAAACGGCAGAAAATTCTCCAGCCCTATCATCACGCCATGTTGAACTTATCATAAGGAAACAATACTGTCGTCCGAATTTTAGAATTAGCGATGTCCTTAGCAGTTTCAAAATAAGCCTTGATTTGAAGTACCCATATCAAAAGATATCCGCGAGTGTCGATTGTGGTGATCCTTGTGGTAAAGCATCACATCAAGTTGATTTATAGAGACCCTTGCATTATCGCAAGTAAAACTTCGCCAACGAACTGTGCGTGAAAGGTTGTCTAAGGTGGAGTATAATACACCTATAATTTAATGAATTGCATCACATACGGTTACGCCTCTTCCATTTCCAAATAAAAAGAACCGATTGCTTGCTTTGATGGTTTTGTATCACCAGACCTGACACGCGTTGACTCATCCTGTGGGGGTGTCCGAAAGCAAAGTACAAGTCAGGAATATCGTAGACTGGAATAAAACATCTGTCACGAAATTATTCAGCATGTTATGCTTAATGCGATGGAATAGCGGACATCTATATAGTTAGAGCAATGTCTCAAAAATAGAACATTTTGATTAAAATAATTTGAAAAATTCCAATTCAATCTGGATATTCCAAATTGTCTTTGGCCGACGTATGGTTGAATAGACATTATTCACCCGTGCATGGCTAATTATGTGACTCATCATGTGAGGGCAAAAACACTTCTAGCCAGGTATTTCTTTACATTTTTCTGGGTTCTTTTGGGTGTGGATAAAAACACTGGGTTCCACAAATGGAAATGCACTAATTTATTTAACTTAATAAAACACTTATATACAGCACTATTTATGTCTGACTAATTCTTATGTCATCATTGACTGCACTATACTCCACTCCGCCCTGCCACTCTACCGTATTCAGTACTCTGCTCCATCTCCCTGCCGCCGAGTTATATATAGTCCCAATTGCCGCTTCGAGAAAGACCACAAAGCGACATCTAGAATGTTGGAGATAACTTCGCGTCGATCTAGAAGGCGATCCACTGTCACGGTCCTCACAGACGCCGCCAGGCGGCTTGTGCGGTTGTGTAAAAGCAGAGATCGGCCACTAAGCTCTGGCGAGTAGAAGACTCGCCCAACAGATGACGCTATTTGTCACAATACAGTGGTAACGTAACAGAAATTGTATACAGTTAGTTGGGCTTTGTATGCATGTGCATGCATATTTCATGAAATTACGGTTGTTAAAATGTTGTTGTTAAAATGACTTGCACTCACGTAAAAAGAATTGCGGGACCAATACACCTGTAATTCGCTTTTTCCATGACCAAACATACTACACAGGTACGTGATGCGACTTCGATTTTAGTTGGAACTGAAAAAAAGCCTTGCCTATGCATCGCTGTCCGTTCAAGTGGTCAGCTAATCTAAACCAGCCAATATGGCGTTAGTTTATCCTTTCAACTTTTACTTCAACGAGTACAAAAAGTTCAACCCTAAATTGTCACGGATGCGTTAGTTAGACATAAGTTACCTTGAACACAGACCACTGCAACGAAGACTATAGTAACTCAAAAATCCTTGATTTTGACTTACTATATTGTATCGATAGACTTTATTGGATGATTTTTGGTGAAATGATATGGTATCTCAGTCATGCAACTATGGACAACCAGTAAATCATCTACGTCATATAGTAAGTATAATAGTGGCGGTTGCTCCCGCGAAAACTACAACAAATTGAATTACCTTATCTTCGATGCAAAAAATCGCGGAAGGTCTGACTTACTATGATTTTCGCGACATAGTTTTAGGTTACGGTAATTAATCGCGAAAACGTTTCAAGTAGTAGCTGTATGAAAAGAGCAGTTTTCAAAGCGAACTAAAATGATTTCAAGAATCAATATAATTTGTGAAGATGCAGTTGCTGAACCGTTAAATTCAGGCAAGTTTGGTTCATCAATGACACAATAAAAAGGTTCAAACATAGCATCCCCTTCTGCGCACGTTATGCATTGGGATCTTTCGCATCACAGTCTGTTTCTCTCATGCCTGGGAAATAAAAAATTTTAACAGATAATTCAACTACTACAGTCCTCGCTTTTGCTTAGACGACACTCACGCGTTTGCTTTTCATTCGTTCATCTCCAAGTCTAGACCTGATACAGACCTCTATCGTACTGATGAGGGCTGAAGAGCCCTGTCTGCGGTTGTTCGTGGATCCATTAGTTTTAAATAAAAGGTAAGAACGGAAAATTGGAACAAAGACGATTGTGGAGAAAAGTTGAAAATTCATAGAATAAGTGCCTCGTGAAATGAAATATAAGTGTGACTATGCTTATGATCTCACGATAGCAACATTGATGATCATGGAGTGAAACCCAAAACAATACGGTTCAGGAACAAGCTTCGCTGTATACAAGCTTGCTTCCAGTAGATGCTAGAAAATTAAATGGCTTATTAGACCTATGACAATCAGAAGCAGGCTTCCTAGCATTCCTGAGCCTTACCTGCTTTCCATTTTTCTCTAAAAGCCAAGAAAGATAATAAATTACAAAGAGGACAATATTAAAGGTGCTGAAAATACAGAAGTTGACAACGTTGATAGTGGAGAACGCAAAGATGAATATAATTTGAGTGACTCACATTGGCATTAAAGAGGTTTTTTCGACCATTTGTTTGAAAAATACAGTAATATTTCATTAAATATCCTCGTAAGTATAGAGCAAGTGTACTTTTTTTGTTAATTGATCCAACGAAAACTATAGTAAGTCAACAAAATTTAATTATTTTTCATTTTCGCTAGGTTTGTATTGTAATACTATTTATACCCTTCTACATACAATAATTACTGCAATGAGATCTTCATTTTCCTGACAACGAAATTCATCAGAAAACCTTCTAGGCCCGTATCGTCAGTCGTCCCTACAATTGTAGGGCGCGTTTATGGCCTCCTTGATTGTCATAGTTTTCTGCTTCTCCGTGTCAGAACTCTATTTTGAGGTTATGTCACAAACATCTATTTGCATCAAATTGTGCTTGCTTTTGAGTTATATCATGTTTTATGAACCTGAAGTTTCCTACAATTTAAAAAGAAAACATATCTTCACAATAGGAGAGCGCTGACGCTGACACGGGACAAGTGTAATCTAGAAATTTTTGAAGGAGAGAAAGCAGGATGACAATCAAGGAGGCCATAAACGCGCCCTACAATTGTAGGGACGACTGACGATACAGGCCCTAATGTCTCGGCTCAACCAAAACTGAGTTACAATAGTCTTCCTTGCAGGGGTCGATACATACACAAACATCTTGGTCAGAAGCAGTTCCGGAATGAAAAATAGATTCAGCTGCCTTGTTATTGTAAAGATAGAAACAATCCAAAGAACCTTTTCAAGCACTTGAAGGCAGATTAAAATACGGTTATATAAGCGCAGGTCTGGAAATACTCCGTTTCCATAATACGGCGGGGTGCCTGGCTTTATTGGTTAGATAGAAAAAATTGCGATATTGTTGATATTAAGGTATATATAAATTATATGATGTGGTACATATTATTATCTTGGGGATTTTTCACATGATAAAATGGTTGTCAAAGATACATTATCATATGCCTGAAGGCTACATGAAAAAAGTACGTAACATTAAAATAGCTAAAAATCGCAGAGATTTTATAAAAAAGATGGACATTTGAAAAATATGTGTCAATCATAGGTATACACCTGAAGAACTTTTTAGGAAAGGTATTGCAGAAACATGAAGGGACATTAGCTTTTTGCTTAGAATGAGCATATCATATTTTAATGTGCGGCTCTGTGATTTTGCTGATTATATACTGAACCACGCTGTAAAATATGCGCAAGGAAAGCTGAATTCAGTTGAGGGTGTATTTCGTTTTTCCCACAGTTCTAATAATGCCCCCGGACTATCATTTAATAGGTTATTCGATATTTCCTGGGTGGAAAATCCAAATTTATATGTGTACCTTCTGGTGCAGTGCAGTTAGATAAAAGCTAATGCTCAAATTTACGTGGAGCTCATGAAATACAAAAATTGAAAATCTGATTCATTTGGCATACACAGCATTATATCCTTACATGTCTATAGTGGATATATGAATAGATTGCAATTCCTCGCTTTGAAGAGGCGTATAGCTATAAAATTGACGGGAATAGGACGATTGAACTTATTGGATTTATGGAAAAACCCTAACTGGTGGACATAAGCGCTTTTGAAGGGTTCTGCGATTGGTTGAATACAAATGTACGCAATTTTCTGAAATATATGCTGGATGTTGTTACAGATTTGTATAGTAGGCTTCCTTATAAGTCGGATGTACTCACAATATAGCTCTTGATCACAGGCGTCCGCAGAAGTTTTTCTCATTGGCCGTCCGATCATCCGCAAAGGATATTTTTTTGTAAAAGTGTATCTGCCTCCAAAACTTTTTGAAAAGCGGGGATAGCAAATTTTCTCGGAAGGACAAATCCTAAACGATGCAAACATTGTACACAGAATCATGCTAAATGTGCAAATTTGAAGGTCCAACTGGTAGACACCTGCGGGCGCCTATGCTCTTGATATCTCCAAATTAAACATATATTAGACGAATTACTCGTCGATACTACTGCCCTGCAACCTGCAAAATCTAGGGCATATGACTATCCATAAGAGCCAGAATTTTTTCGTTTTTTCCTAATGATATCAGAATTTTATTTTTTCATTTAATATTGACAGTAAACGAGAAACGATATCGATTTTTCGAATAATGGGATATGCTTCATTTAGATATAACTACATTTTCAGAAGATAATACAGTTTAAGCTAGTTTCTAGTAGCTTCACTCGCGGGTCATCCAAATTCATTGCATTTACCCTCTAAGATATTATCTAGAGATTCGCCATTATAATTCGTTTTGGCTATACACGACGGTACTCGGGGACAGAGTCAAGGCCGACACATTCAGATGATATTGATACAATTCGGTTCTGCATAATATGTTATATTTATTTCCAGAAAGACCCAGCAAGGCATATCAGTTGGACAGATTTGTATGTCACACATGACTCCGTGACGTGAGATGCTATGCCGTAAAGGATAAAGATAACTGGTAATCATCTCAACTACACAGATGATCCGTTAAATATGTAATTTAAGATTAAAAAAAAATAATTGCTAAAACTTTTCTTATTTGTTACTAAACTAACTCGTAAAATGTTCCGCCAAGGGTTATAAAAGTTAAACACGCACTCGCAAAAAGTCTGATTTAAGGCATTGTAAAAACAGAAGTTACCCTAAAAACCTGTATACCATCACATAGCCATTGAACTTCTAGGACCTTATGCGAAATGTTGCGTGATTTAGTTTAGAAACAAAGTATGATGATTGAAATGTTTCTAACCTTAAATTGCGTTGGTATATATGACATGGTCGCCAGTTATACAGTGTGTCCCAGATTCGATTCTCTATACAGGGATCTCGGCTCCTGTTACTCCTACTGCAAAGATTAAATTGGGGAAGTTTTAGAAGAAACAGTGCATTCGGTAGCCGGCTTCAGATTTACGATCGGTCCATTGGTTTAGGAAATATAGGCAAAAAACAACAAGTGTCGAATTTTGTTTTTTGCCGGTCAATCTGAAACGGTTAATTTGACAGCTGTCAGGATCTGACATTATTCGGACATTTTTTAAGGCAAATAAGCGTGTATGACATGTCTCAATCGTCTTTTGTTTTCCAGCAATGTAATATGTAAGTGAGTATCAATTTGCACATCTGTAAAATAACGTCCATTTACATCCAGACATTTTTGACAATTGGTGACTGTTTTTCGTACAACCTTATTCTTCTTAAAAAAAATTCCAAATAATGTCACATTATGATAGCTGTCGAATTGACCGTTTTGGAAAAAATCCGCCATGTTCGGTTTTTCGCTGATATTTTCAAAACCAATTCACCGATTGTAAACCTGAAGTCAGCTATCTAAAGCATTGAGTTTCCTTTAAAACTTTCCCCATTCAACCTTTGCTGTGAGTACGCACAGGAGCCGAGATCCCTGTATAGCAAAGCGAATCTAGGAAACATTATATAGTTTAACCTTTATTTGGGTCAGTTTCTAAAGAAGGGTCAGGAAAGAACTTGACACGTTGCTTATTACGTCACGACTTTGGCGCAAATTTGACCTTGGTGGGCAACTTTTGGTTGCTTCTTGTTCATGAAAAGAAGTGAAAGCAGTGAAAGGATATACTTTTTGGAGGCAAAGCGATGATATTATGTCGAAATAGAAAATGGAAATTATCTGACTGCTCATTTGTAATAGTCTGTGTTACATTACTATTTATCAGTGCAGCATCCGGTGAATATTTTGGACTGGACGCAAGCAGTATAAGTAAAAATGATGAAAAAATCCTGTCAGGCAAAGACAGGTCAAAAGAAATTCAATCAAAACCTTCACCACCCTCAAATGTTGAATTACTACATATTTCACTTGACTTGCTTTTGAGTAGTTGTTCTGAATATTTTTTTAACTACAACTATTATTCCAGAGTACCGAATGAAAAGTCTTGAAAAGAAGCCCGTAACTGAAAATCCTTCTGCAATTTAAAAGATATTCCAGTAACTCTTTTTATCGGCGATCGGCTTGCGACTCAGTTCCTAGAACAAAGGTTGCAATTGTGCTGGCACAATCTGTTAGTCGGGTGAAAACACCCAGGTAAATTCTAAGGTTTAATGTTACTGTTATTGTACGAGAGGCGAATTCCCCATTCTCGATTTCTTACTCCTGCTTTACTGCTACTACTTTTCAATAACTGCTGCAAAGCTCTAGTGAAGTGGTGGTATGAATACCCTCTCTTCAGGGTTGGTCAAACAGAATTGTGAGCTAAGACATTTATGTAATTCTTGTAGGTACATTCTGGTCCATTTTTCACCGTCACCGCTCCTTACCCTGCGAGTCACCGAGAATGTTGAACGAGAATGTTACATATCCGATTTCGCGAAAAAAGTTTATAAAGGTGAATGAGCACATATCAAAAGTCGTCTTGGCCGAAATCCGTCTGTTAGAAATATTCGTTTAAGAACTATTTTTAAAAATCCCTTGACCAATTCTAACACTTATAAGCAAGGGGAAGTGTTAATTATATTTGAGTCATGTGTAACGTTTGGGTTACCAAGGAGTATACATACAATTAAGATTGAACCATACACCTATATTATTTAAATCGTATTCAACGGCCGTGGAATCCTCAATACGGTCTAAATCGCGAAGCAACATCAAGTCACCAGCATGAAAAACATTATACTTTCATATAGACAGAATCGTTAATCAAACATGAAATGGAACCTAAGTGAGACCCTACATACATGATATATAATACAATCGTGTGCTACTTTGGAACAGATAGAAGTATAGACCTTGTACCATGCTCCATAGAAACTAGCTATAGTTGTGATACAAATATTGCACAAATATCTAACCTGACTGCTTTTCTGCTACATTCAGCGTAAATCCTTCCAGCATCACAGATTCACTGCGTCCTTTACCATTCGCTGCATATACGGTCATCTTCAATGACTTTCCCGGATCCAGCCCACTGACAATGAATTCCGGAAACTTGGATGACACGTTTGCTTGTAGCACGCCTGTGCTCGAATCGTACACTTCCAGTAAAAAGTATTGTGGCTGCCCGCCTGTAAAAAAAGTTTGATATACTTTTGACGCACGTTTTTAACACTAACGTCTCTATTAATAATGTCAAGTCCCATACTACCTTTATGTTACACTATTGTACGTATCCTTGACAAACCACATTATGGATATATACTTCTGAAAGGCCTGATATATTGTCGTCGGACATCTGACAATACCTGCTATCTGACATTTATGCCCAATTTGAGGTATATGCACATTTTTCATCGTCTACCTACAGCGCACATTGTGATAGAGTTCGCTAACTGCGGACAAATTTAGTTTTGGAATTATTCAGCCAAAACAATACCTACCCCTGGCAACACATTTGACAATGAGCGGCAATTCCAGCTATCTGACAATTACGCGTGCTACTTTTCTGAATTTTGCAATGAAACACGACGTTGTGATTTCTCAGAAATATCTCAACAAAGGACACACCCAAATGGAATGTGACTCTGTACACAGTTGCATTCAAAGAAAGCTGAGAAAGAGACTTGTTGAATTACCAAATGACTATGTTAAGGCGTCAAAAGAAGCTAGGACAAAACCAGAGCCATATGAGGAGATCCAATTGAGTTACGACTTCTTCAAGGACTACTCTCGAACAGAGGTGCAGCGATACTCAACAATTAGACCAGGCAGGGATAATGTAGTCACGGACATGAAAGTACTATGTTATAATCCCGATGGAAAAATTGAAGTGAAACTAAACTTCAGTGTAGAGCCTCAGGAGTTGCCATTGAGACCAAAGCAGCTACCCGTCATTTCAGATTATAAGTGTTATATCTAGGGACTGTCTCATGTTTCACGACAATTTGCCATATGTCAAGGAAAGAAGCTGAACGTTCGTTTAAGGTGTAACTGAGAATGCCACTATCTTTTTGATTTGTAAAAGCATTATACTTTTAATTTTATATAATGAATAACAGTTTTTTCAACACGAATCTCACTAAATCCATGTATGCATCATAGTACAATATCTGCTAACTGCAAAGAAAGTTAGCACAAATGTCAGCTATCTGTACTAATTTTGTCAATTAGAGCTTCATTTAGATTAAAACGCATTAAATATGTGTGAAACGTCAGTTGTTATTTGAGACCAAAGTTGTAGAGTCTTAAGGCCGGTAGTATAAAGTTGATAAGGTTTTTTCGTCCCCTGTAAAATTACGGTTCCTGCATATAGCAGGTAAAATTAAATTATTCATCATTTTACTTGTATAGTCAACAGCTATAATGGCCAAACTATGAATCTAAGAATAAAAACATTATTACCTTTGTTGTAGAGAATAAAATTTGCTACAAAAAATCTGTTACGTTTTTTCGATACTTTGATGATGATTGAATTACAAGGAGGCAAAGTAAAAAATTCGTATCAACACAGTCGCGCGGCATATTCCGTACGTTATGTACGTTGTCCACATCCGCATAGATTATTTTATGGATTTCTTGGACGTCAAATTCCTGTTTCATACTTTTGAAATTTGGACATGTACTCAATTCATGAAGAAACATGTGGATTTAGCTATTGTCAAGGTAAAACGGATGTAACAGTTGGAGTCAAAACTAACTGTTAGATGCTCATGAAATTATTTGTAGCTCCGCCGAATTCTTGTCTTGGAAAACAGTTGCTGTAGCCAAATATTCTATCACTGATCACTGAAATTTTAGACTACCCACCACAACTGAAAATGAATATTTGGTTTCAAATACTTTTCTGGCATGGCTAGATTCAGCAAACATAACCTCACATCCTGCGCAAACGATTATCCTCGTTGATCCACATTGAAATCACCGAATGCCAGCTAGTGTGCAGATAGTCAAAGCCGACTATGTGACGCGCGGCCAGTCTAGCAGGCACTGAAATCTGTGGGTAAGATCGATATTCGCCTGGCAGTCAACGCATTATGAACCATAGGGGCATTTTCGACTGATCGGGATGATTTTCTCGTTGCAGCTCAACTAGAGTGACGAGTCAGACCAAGAAATAGGAAAATTTTGTACGTTATAAGAAAATTCAACAATGTTTGCGATAGCTGATTTTTTGGTGGTATCTTTAGATTGTTGCTTTTTAATGAAGAGTTCAAATTGGCGTCATGACAGGGATGGAGCTTTGTCGCAATTTTGATAAACGAGTTTGGTCGAAAGACTCGCAAACCATCCTTCACAAGTTAAAAAGTAATGGGATCAATTGTGCAGGGAACTAAATTATTCATCATTTTTTTTCTATAAAAAATTGTCGTATAGTCAACAGCTTACGAGAAATTTAAGGATAAATGCACATGTTATGATATTTTCGCTTATAATGGCTAAACTATGAATCTACGAATATAAAACACTTATATCTGTTTTGTAGAGAATAAAATGTGCCACAAAAAACAAACAGTCTTTTACGTTTTTGCGACACCATAATGATTCTTGAAGTATAAGGAGGCAAAGTTTAAAATTCATATCAACACAGCCGTGCGGCATACACCGCACGTTATGTAAGTTGACCACGTTATCTGCATACATTATTTTATGGACTTATTTGACGAAACATTCCTATTTCATACTTTTGAAATTAGGCCATATACTCAATTCACGAAGAAATCTGTGGATTTAGCTATTGTCAATGTAAAACGGGCGTAATAGTGGGAGTCAAAAATAACTGTGAGATGCTCATGAAATTATTCGTCGCTCCGCAGAAGTGCTGTCTTGGATAACAGTTGACCTTGGTCCTCTTTCTTTTCTAGTAATATAGCTTTCATTCGTCCGACCACAGATTGCCAAACATGGACAATTATTCCGTGCTATTTGGCAGCTCTGGTGGGGGCTTGGTCTCGGATCTATTACCAGAATCGACCATTACGGAAAGGAAAACAGCAAAATGTCTGTTTGATTCGTTACTATAAAACGAACTTGAGTTAGCACTGTCCAATCATCCAAGATTATATTATAGTAAAATACCAAAATTGATGACAGTAGCGAAACTCATCGTACGCCACTGCTATTACGCGGAGGCCTTCAAAAATGCGGCGCTTCTTTGTGAAATCTCGGTAAACGTCGCTGTAATCAAAAGGTCAAAGCAGTAGCGCTAGCGAGTCTTCTGCTACTGTCATCAATTCTGGGATTTGACTATAGTTCAGTCTTGATGATGCAGCAGCGGTGTGTCAGTTAGTGTGCAGTACTTGAATATTATTGCCATTTGCATTACCTTTGGTTGAGTAGTAACATTCTGTATATGGTGCTCATATTTGAGACGAATCGTTTTCATGAAGCCAAAAAAATTAGGATGTCAGGTTAGCGGCAATATTTTATCTAGTATTCTCACCGAAATGCGCTACTATTTTTTTACGAAATAACATGACATGACCAAATCCACTAACCTAAAGGCAAGCAAATTGAAACTTTAAGAAATTATATCCGAAGTTCCCTTTCAGGGGTACCTCATTCCAGTTTACATCTTCAGTTATGTACACATTCGTAATACTTCATGCTCAGCAATGCATAAAAGACACATTTTTGCTGAAGTTTCTCAAAAAATAAGACAGCCCAGTGCGCAAAGTGTTACACCTCGACCAAAAAGTATCCAGACCGACCGACAGAAAAAAATAAAAAGGGGCCAGCAAAACGCTTGGTGGCAGTAGATTGATGGCTACTCCGGAGGCTCGCAATTAAGGCTAACAAAAGTGGACGTTCACTTCTATCTCCCCGGTTCCGCTTGCAAACCGGAGGAAAACAACTGTTACGTAAAACAACTAACTCGATTAACGAGCGTCTCTAAGAGGAGTTATTGATGTTATGAACCTTTAATCTGACCCTTTTATGGCAGAGATTTCGGTGGACGAGTAGATATTATGAATTATATAAATTTAAAACAATGTACCATTGTATTGTGCCTATTTTCCTGATACAAGAAATCAGAAATGAGAATTTTATATTTGCGAAGGTTTTACAGAAAAATTGCTCTATATCCCTACTAATATTGTAAATGAGAAAGTGCGCATATTTGTTTCTCAGTCAGGCCAGAATGGCTGAAAGGAGATTATAGTCTAGAATAGCTTTTATCCCGGATAGTAACTTTGAAGCATCTACTTCACAGTTCGCGGTCTACGCGAAAGAACTCAGTCGCTGGTATGACCGAAATAAGTAAGGTTGTATAAATAGGAAACTATTCTACTGCATTTTATTGTAAATGCGAAAGTTATGTATGTATTTTCCGTTTTCAGCCCAAACTAGCTGAACCAATTTTGATAAATTTTAACATATATTAGTATTATTCCATAGAATAGACCTTGGAGACGGACACAGGCTACCTTTTGTTGTGAAAATAAAACGTCAAGGCTTTGAAAGGTTACTGTAGAGAAACTATTCACGGAGCATGGAGGTACCTTGTGAACAGGAATGTCAGCTCAGAAGGGAATAAGCGACAGCGCTGGATTAAGGAGAGATAAGGACAAATACACGCAAAATCACGAACTTTTGATAACTATTTGGCCTGTGAATATAAAATTTGACAGGAAGGTACTTTCAGGAAGGACATGTCAGCTAAGAATGTATTTTGCCGCAGTGCACTTACAAGTCTGTAGGAAAGTCCTTTGCTTTTCTACTGGAGATAATTTGGTAAGCAGGTTAAGGTTAAGATCGTGCTTGTTTGGAAATCCTGCTAGTTGCCTAAAATTGGCCATTCTCTAAACATAGAGTACACTTAAACTGAGAATGGATATTGCGACATAGATGAACTGTCGCAATTTTATATCAGATATTTTCACCTTTTCTAACAAGACTAGAGAGAGATGTATTTTTTTAAATGCAATAAATTTGATTTAATCTTAAAGCTCCGTGGTTTCCACAACATGCCGTGAACTCATGGACTTTAAAATCCACACCTGATTTCATCATTGAGGTCGAAAAATACTTTTTCAAGACATCAGTTTAAGGCCGACTATTACAAAATTCATATTTGCGTAAAGCATTTTTGAAATAAAAAACATTTACTGAACTCTGTTCAATTTCATTTGTCAGAAAGGTATTGCTGCTATCCTGTTCGTCCTAATCGAAACCCGGTTTTCAAAAGCATGGCATCTCTAGCGGCCACTATATATTCAAAATACACATGCTACGCATTTGTAGCATCGGAGCAAGTTTTGTAAATGATTGCATAAAGTTCATACAAAATTATGTACCAGATGCTGTCATATAACGTACTGACTCTTAATTTTCTACGAAATTTACCTTAGTAGATTCAACACAAAATTTACTATCGTGACATGCGGCCTATGCAACACTGGGTACGAATTGAACAATATACAATGCATTTGTGACACAGAAAATGGAATAAGATCAGAAAATTATAGTTAACCTTTGTTTAGTTGGTAGGTGACAAACAAGGTTCGTGTTGAAAAGTGCAAAAATATATAATATAATATATCTGTTCAGTGTTAAGTTTTTTTTATACTCCAACTACCACGAAGGCCCAAGGCCTCAACACCCACTGGGTACCGTGGGGCTATAGGGGGATACAGGGGAAAGGGGGGATGCCACAAGGACTCTGGCGAGGGAACACGTGTGCATGCAACATGCACACATTCTAGCTTCGCCTACGAGATCCGCCGGGTGGTACCTCCACGTTCGACAGTCAGAGACCGTCTACTATATACGGACAATCACTACATCCATAGCCAAGAGAAAAATTTCTCCTGGGACGGGACTCGAACCCGCACAGCGCACGGCGACTGATCAGGAGACCGAAGAGTCTACTACTGCGGCCACCGCTGCTGCCTCTACTAGATTGTGCTTATTCGTAACAAGGTAATGCATAAGTTCCATACTGCTCTCTTATTGCCGACTCGAATCTGTGATGCATATGATGTTTGAAGATGGTAATTTCTTTGGAATGTCTGTCGGTTTCAGGCTGAGGGTTCGACTGGGTTATTTCAAATTATGGATATATGCATTTGCTAATTTATTAGTCTTTTTATTATGGCATTGGACAGATAACAATAATGCAATATCACCTGGAGCTGATTTCATGATATTTCATTAAAATCTATTTCAGTTCACATTATAATGTCTCTACATATATGTATTTTGGATTTCTTATTGTATTGTATCTATATTATTTGAATTACTATCTACCGCTAATTACATCTTTCCTGTCTAACATTAATAGCATCAAGTGTATGAGTTTAAAGAATTGTTCCTTAGGAACAGTCATTATTTAAATGAACGCTTCATTCAGGTTTCTGTGGATTCAGCTTAATTGGACATTTGAAATACAACTACTTTATACTTTGTATACAAACTAAAATTTTGCAGCAGAATAAAATAAGCTTACCGTCAAATCCGTCACTGCACGAAACTTCCAAGGAGTCATTGGTCATGTTCATGACAGTGCAGTTATGGGGCGGGTCAGGCTTGCCTGCTGGTATGATATGGTACATACATGCTTCCACTTGTTTCCCTGGCAAGTTGTTAGCCCAACACATTACTGAACCATAGTCCAACTCTGACACTGGAGTATACGTTAAAGTTGAAATGAAATGTTGACCTCCGGAGTGGTACCTGTAAGAAATGGAGTCTGTATTATGGCGACTCTTGCAGAGTGGCATGCTTACATTAACTGAGATGGATATTTCAATACCTCAAGATTGTGCCACTGGTCTCGTACAGCTGATATACTTATAGATGATCGCGCTCGTCGCAGTTGGAATATAGGACTATTCATTGACGAAGTGCAAAGTAACGTCAAGAAAAGAGCAAATTAGACAAATAATAAATAAGTAGATGTGCCGGAAGAAGCATTAATTACACAAAAAGAACATGAGGGAAAGACACAGTTTCCGGGGCAGTTGGAACACGGTTATTGCTCATCAACACTTTTGCTCCATACTACAGTAACAAGTGGTTATATTATTACGACATCAACACTTTCCTCCATCGCTCAAGTGCAAAAGTTATCTAGCTTCTGTTATCTTAAAGGTGAAATAACTACCTGGCAGACGAGACATCCGTAGTTTCTTCCGAGTTGTTGAAAGTCCATTTGAAGCTATCTGGTGGCGGATATGCATCAACCTCACACAATATGTTCACTCGTTCATGTCTTGCTACCCCATAAACTCTTTTCTGGTCAGCCCTGCACACAGGTTTATCTGGAATGAATAATATTGATAGTGCGTTTATTTCACATTGTGCAAAGGTATGGTGTGCAGAAGTCGAAATCGGTACTGCAATCGGTTCTAAGGTTTCTAAACAGTTGCAGACCATGTATAACTGTGTCTTCTATGCTCGTCCAGAATAGATGGAGATTATAAGCTAAACAGAGGAGTGTATTGTATTATACCACAGACATTATTTATGATTTACTTATTTATATTTTTTTTGCAAAATGATTCATAATACTGTCCTAACGGTGCGACAGACTTTAACTGTCAAATCACAGAACCAAATGGTTAGTTCATACGCAAACTTTATTTAAATGATTGGATCGTACGGGTATTGACCTTTTAAGAAAAAAATGGTACGCCAATGGTTTTTTGCCAAATAAAAATTATTTCTGAATTGTGATTCTGTTCACGGACAAAGCTAATTTTTTTGAAATGCCATTTAGAATTTCCACAATAATCATTTGTGGGCAGAAGAAAATCCCTATGCCGTAACCCAATCCCATTTCCAACACCAACTTTCGGTAAACGTATGGGCAGGAATTATTGGCAACCACTTTATTGGCCCATTCTTCTTGCCGGGACGACTTGATGGACAGACTTACCTCAATTTTCTTCAACAACAGTTGCCTTTGCTGCTTGGTGATGTTCCGTTAGTAATAAGAAACAATAGGTGATACATGCATGATGGTTCACCAACGCATTTCAGTGTAGCGGTTCGTAATCATTTACAAACTGTTTATCCAAATCGTTGGATTGGTCGCGGTGGGCCCCAAGAATGGCCACTAAGGTCCCCAGACCTCAACAGTTTAGATTTCTTTTTGCGGGGCTATCTTAAGACACCAGTGTACACAAGTCCCATTAACACTGTAGAGGAATCAAGCGAAAGAATAGTTACAGCTTGTGACAGAATAAATAGCACTCCAGGGATATTTCAACGAGTTCGCAATTCCATAAGAAGGAGGACGGAAGCATGCATACCAAGTGAAGGGGGCCATTTTCAACAATTTTTGTAATCATTTCGTTGGTTTTAATGCCATGTTTATGTTGTCAGTTGTTGTTGTTCATTACCCCTAATGTGTTTAATTTCTCCAAATGATTTTGCAAGTTAGACAATAGAACGGTTTTTATTTTTACTCCAAAATGGCGCAAGAAAAACAACTCAAGAGAGGTCATTTGTTTTAAATTGAACGGGGAATTCAAAAATGATTTTCACTTGGCCAAAAACCATTGGCGTACCATTTTTTTCTTAAAAAATATCGAAGTCAATACCCGTAGGCACGCCACTGTTAAAGCTAAAAATTATTTTTGCATTCAAAAATGTGCAAATTTATTAACTTTCACTACGTACTAAATATCAGTGAAATATCTGAAGCGGTTCTGACAATATTAATCAATTTCCATTTTTTCCTTGGTGGGGTAGCGGACATTGCTACTCCTTAATATTATACAATTTGAATTAAACATAGTATCTTGCTTTGTCGTTTCATTTCTGTGTGACCGTAAGAAAGGAAGAAAAAAATCTGACATTTGCTAATAACAAGTGTCAATAATTTATTCTCAAATGTTAATTCAGTAGCGCAGGAAAAGCCTAAATGCCAGGTCACCAAAGCTGCTATGAGGAGCTCAAGCAAACCTTCTTATTCCGATTTTTAAGCTGTCCAAGGTTATTAGCACTGAGAAAAAAAGGCCCGTGATGTAGACTGTGCTACAATCTCGATACCCTAGCTACAAAGGAGCGGTCGTAGCGGCCAATTGTGGATGTACGAAGTTCGACATGGTTAGGATAGTAGTCAGGCGGGTCTGTCAAGCAGGCAGATCAGGAGGAGCTCGTTGGCGTAGCGGTAGTAGAGAGCTAGATCGCTGACGATCCGCCTGCGCCAGTGGTAAAGGGTCCCAAGACTATCAGTTAGAGAAGTGTCATCGATCAGTCAGACAGCCCTCTTCTGAATAGCATCGAGCATGAATAATGTAGTCGAGGTGGCAGAACCTCAAACATGTGAGCAGTAGCATAGCTTAGGTCTTGTTTGCCTTGTGCAGAGTGAGGAGGTCATCTGGAGATAGGTACTTCTTAGCCCTAGGCAAATAGCCTAGCTTTTTCCCAGCAGCTGCCGCTCTTAATGAGATGTGTTCGTGCCAGATTAATTCCTGGGTGATCTGGGGGACCAGTCAAAATGGATGGCTCTTTAGTAGAACTCGGACGCTTCTTATTAGTCAAGGTACGGTACTGTGTTTTTCAAGCATTAAGCTGTACAAGACTGTTGTCATTTGAATCAGTGATAGCCTCCAGGTCGCTCGTCAGACTGGAAGTCGCTGCTAATCTTCTTTTCTCTAGCTAACCGGCAGAGATTGATTTGTCACTCTGAATTCCTGCATGTAGAGTTTTGCCATCAGCAAATCTGTGGATCATATTGATAGTACAGGAAAGGAGGTCGTTGGTAAATGGGAACAATCTAGGAGCCCAGACCGATCCCTCAAACGGTGACGTTGTCGGGTGAAGAGGAGAACTCGTCTGTTACGACGGATACCTTGAGGCCAGATAAGAAGTCGGCCACCCATCTGCAACTCATCTCTGGGAGGCTATATAGTGGAAGTTTGCATAAAAGGGCAGCCCTGATGTAACACCAGCCACTTTAAGATATGACCAGCCAGCCAGCATCAGTTTTACCTGATTAAAATCCGTTAATTCAAAGGACGACTCTTCAAACATTTCTATGGCAATGTTCATATAATCATGATGCAATATTAACTTCCGATTCTTAAGATAAATAGCGCTAGTTAACACTCGCCCTAATGACATTTCGTTAACGCGGCCCCTTTGGGTCATTCATATATGTTTTGCATTCCTTAGTAGCTAGTTGGCAATTACCATCCACGCACAAGGAATGTATGATCCTTTCTGTGTTTTATTATACATACTCATGCAGTTGTAATAATGGTTACCGAATTAATTATTATTATTATTTTCAGTGTCAAGAAGGGGTATTGAATAGAATTGTTGTTGATTTATTGATTCACCGTCAAATACCCACAATAACGAAAAATTAGAAATCATCTTTAAACATCATAAAAGCCAATCAAACGTGAAATCATATCGTAACATACGATAATGTAGCAACGAAACGAAGTTAATACGCAAAGACAGGTATCTTATAGTATCTTACCTACCAGAAACAACTTGACTGGCTAAATACATGTATAAAACCAAAAAAACCGCGTACTGCTCTTCATATAGAATGCGCGATGCTTTACCGTTCGTAAAACATGCCAGCAAATTGACACTTCTCAAATGAGGAATGTGTTTCGATTTATGCTGCATGTGGTCGGCATACTTACTTCAATAGCTGCAGCATTTTGTTAACACCAAACTGTCGACCACATTTATTTACTTATTTTATTTATTTCATGCTTATGTTAGGTTCAAACACCGATTTCGGCCAATGGTCGAAAAAAACGACCAGAACGCGTTCTGGCCCCCAGCATATTGCCAATGTCCGAAAAATCGATTTCTGGCCGTTTATTATAGATCAAAATACGTTCTGGCTATCGTCATATTGCCAGAACGCGTCGAACATACAAACAAAACGTCCAAAACCCCTACGAGTCTAAACTTGTATCGAATCTAATCCACCCTACTGTCTACTACTCGCAGTAAATGATCAAGTTATTATACTTTGAAGTTGAGTCAATAATTTTCAGATAATGATTGTAGAAGGAAGATAAATCAAAATATGTGTGTAAAAATAAAAAAAATTAAAAAATTACCTTGTTTTATAAAGTATCCTCCCGACAAGTATTTCAGTGCGGACCTGTATTTGATCGTGCAGTCTTGGAGCACCGGCATGCCCTCCCCTGTGAGGTCTTAAGTCACCTGATTCACGAGCCCTTTGTACTACATTAACAAAGGCACGAGGGGTTGGTTGCACCCGATTGGGAAACCGATCCGCATAAATCCGTGATGCCGCGTAAATAAGAATCATGTCCACAAGTTCAGCATTTTCGTAAACATGTGCCATTTTTTATTTCGTTTGAGCCACGCAACAAACACCACTATTCACTCACGCGTTACCGACTGACACATTGACTGACATCGTGATAAACTTTTCAAATTCTTTCGCTTTTTTGTTTCCGATGCGATGAACCGATGAGGCGGATTATATCCGTTGTTGCCAAGCACGAGCACATAATATTATTATTGAGACAGGGCCGTACTCAAACTTATAAAGGACTATAACTTTGTTAATTTAATTTTACCAGAAAAATGTTAAAGGAAAAACACATTTCTTTTGATCAGATCTACTCACTGTTAAAATAAATGACTCAACTTCGAAGTCACCCTGTATAGTAAATGTTTTATGTTTCTGTTAAAACTGAAGTTATTTATTTATTTTTTATTTTGTTTTATTTTGAAACTTGTTATATAAGCAATCAAATATATTTTTTTATATTAAATTGGCCTTTGGACGTTTTGTTTGTATGCTCAACGCGTTCTGGCAATATGACGATAGCCAGAACGCAATTTGATCTATACTAAACGGCCAGAAAGCGATTTTTCGGACATTGGCGATATGCGGGTGGCCAGAACGCATTCTGGTCGTTTTTTTCGACCATTGGCCGAAATCGGTGTTTAATCCTAACATTTACACTATCCGAACAGTCTATGTTATTTAACGGATAGGAAATTCACAAATATGTATCCAGACTGCTGGTAATACAATAGATTTCTGATTATCATGAAAGACTTAACCCATGTTAAGAGAACATCTTTCAATTTCGCGCATATTACAGAAAAATATATTTAAACGGTCCTTAATACATTCATAACTATACTAAGTGACATATAAATCCGAACACCCAGTTAAAATGGTTTTATTTTAATAAAATTTTGTATAAGTACTTAATGTAGCATAATAAGTAAATAATAAAAATTTCAAAATGATTGCACTGCTTTAAAGCCCTTTGACCTTTAATAATGTGTGGATGCACCCTGATGTGCTATGCATTCACCAACGCGCCTAGGCATGCTTCTGATCAGGTGGTCAATGTCCTCCTGCGGTATCTCATTCCAGGCAACCACCAACTCCTCTCGAAGTGCTTCTAGAGTCTGAGGAGGACGTTGCAAATTGAGCAATCTCCTACCCATCATATCCCACACGTGCTCAATTGGGGATAAGTCGGGAGATCTTGGTGGCAATGGTAACAATGTGACATCATTATGTTGAAAGAAGTCTATTGTGACTCTTGCAACATGTGGTCGGGCATTATCTTGTTGGAAAGTTGGATCTGCCAGGGTGTCAAGATAGGGTAAAAGATGGGGTTCTAGAACTTCGTGGATATAACGCTGCGCGTTTATGTTACCTCTGATGAAGATTAAAGGTGACCTGGAACCATAAGCTATAGCACCCCAAACCATAACTCCAACAGTGTGATGAAAATGTCTTTCAACAAAAAACTGTGGATTCCTCCTTTCACCACGTCGCCTTCTAACCCTGGCACGACCATCGTGCATGCCTAAACAAAATCGAGACTCGTCACCAAAGACAACACTGTTCCATTCCTGATCCCAGAGTGACCGTTGTCTGCACCACTCAAGGCGATTACGTGGGTGTAAGAGTTAGAAGGCGCCGTGGTGAAAGGAGGAATCCACAGGTTTTTGTTGAAAGACATGTTCATCACACTGCTGGAGTTATGGTTTGGGGTGCTATAGCTTATGGTTCCAGGTCACCTTTAATCTCCATCAGAGGCAACATGAACGCGCAGCGTTATATCCACGAAGTTCTAGAACCCCATCTTTTACCCTATCTTGACACCCTGGCAGATCTAACTTTCCAACAAGATAATGCCCGACCACATGTTGCAAGAGTCACAATAGACTTCTTTCAACATAATGATGTCACATTGTTACCATGGCCACCAAGATCTCGCGACTTATCCCCAATTGAGCACGTGTAGGATATGATGGGTAGGAGATTGCTCAATTTGCAACGTCCTCCTCAGACTCTAGAAGCACTTCGAGAGGAGTTGGTGGTTGCCTGGAATGAGATACCACAGGAGGACATTGACCACCTGATCAGAAGCATGCCTAGGCGCGTTGGAGAATGCGTAGCACATCAGGGTGCATCCACACATTATTAAAGGTCAAAGGGCTTTAAAGCAGTGCAATCATTTTGAAATTTTTATCATTTACTTATTATGCTTCATTAAGTACTTAAACAAAATTTTATTAAAATAAAACCATTTTAACTGGGTGTTCGGATTTATATGTCACTTAGTATATTACACATTACATATATGTTTTTATAAAAATCCGAATTTTCAATGTTTTTGTGCAAAAACCACTGACAGAATGTTAGTCTGCGAGGATAGTCTTCTGGTAACAAGGCCTGCACTCGTTGTACATGGTGGGAATAAAGCAAATTTTCCCGTAGGATGGACTATGGTATGCGATAGTCCTACGCGGCGGCCTAATTCCCGAATGCTGATATCTGCATGGATTTCCACGATATTTAAAATTAGTTCCTCCCTGGACACTTCCTATATCTCGAAGTTTTTTGCACAAATGTCCTTTTGTCTGGGTGTACCCGTTGGCGAAATATGTCGCGATAAATTTGAGCTGCAAGATTTGAATTCTGACGAGCTTCACCGTAAACTAACGAACTCTTGGTTCGAGAACATTGTAAATCAACTCGACGATGTACGCAAACAAAAACAAAACAACATACTAACTACTGTTACCTTTTGCGATCGATTGCCGGTTCGATCAGGGTGATGATGACCGACGCGCTGTTGTCATGTGTGTTTTAAATTTTCAATTTAATGTAACTTACTTACCTACTGACTATAAATTATGGCTTAACTTAGGAAAACTTAATGCTATTTATTTGTTAATTACCCGATTTAAAAACATTTTAGGTTAGATTATAAAAATTAGTAAGGTTGTGGACATTGTGGTCGATATAAAGCACTTAAAGTTGTAAACCATAAAAGCCATTTAGGCAAAAATCTATTAACTTTTGGAACATGGGTCATATGAGCTTTTTGACTTGTTTTCACCCCCCCTATTAATCACTTCAATAATGCCTATCATAACGTTTACACGTTCGCCATAGAGCCCAAAACGGTCCATGGTTCTTCTCATCATTGTGTGATTTCAACTTTTCGAGTATTCGATCGCTGCAGCTCCATTCGTACTTCAAGGCTGAAAGATTTCTCTACGCCATATCGGTCAGGTTATGTTATAAATACCTACAAGTATCTCTGCATTGTCGCAGACATACACGAACTAGAAACAACTTCCATTCTCTATAGTCACATTACCGAAGCTTCCACAACTTCTACAATGAGAACTTCATATCTGGTTGTACTTTGTGCATACAGAATGAGTCGCTCGGATGGAAACTGCTCGGGTAACCTGAATCCATCAATTTCAAATCGCTTTGTCGTTGCGCGTGCTCGGCAAATAAGTAATACGAACCTCTTTCGCTTGCTGCTCAGGCTCACTCAGGAATATCATATATACGAAAGAATTATTGCAATAGTTCGCATTGATACTTCCTTATTTTCTATTATAGGCTAGTCATTTTGCACACGATAATAGAAAAGCTATAAGGTTCTTAGATCAAGTATTGCTGGAACGTGTAGATGTGCTACCAAGGTAAAATTAATCCAATCTCAGAGGAAATTGTGGTAGATAGAGTTACGGTAGACGCCATGGGCGCTGAGAGGCGCAAATTCCGCTGGCATGTCGGTAGGTCGCCGGCTGACTTGGAGGTCATTTAACATGTAAACGCGACAAAGTTGTGGTGTTAGTAGCTTTGATAGCTCTTTTCTGATGAACGCTACTATTGACTACGTTTGATATGCACACCTCAAGATGGTTTGAATACATTGTTTTGAACAAATTATGTATATAAACACTGGTTAAGCTAAAACGATTCATGTTCTAAGTACATTTCTGTTTCGGTTAAATCATTTTGAAGTACTTGTATCTTTTCGTGCTTTAAAAAAGTAATAATCAGCTTGGAAACGTCATACATAGACGTTGATGTTGATGCTACTTAACATTTTTGGCAATGTTCCATGTCTACTGAATATCAAATGAGGATAACGTTAAACTTTACTCATGATGATGACTCTTCTCTAACAGGCAGTCCTGGCACCCTTTCGCACCGGCGGGCCGTCGGCGATCTAGCTCTCTTCTACCGCTACACCAACGGGCTTTACTCCTTACTTCGGCATCCCATCATAACCGGGTCGAACGATCTACAGGAGGAGGCTTTTCCCAGTTCTACTAAGCTTGGGCAGTTCCAAAATGGTAATAACAAAATGCGGTATTTAGGATTGCTACATCTTTGTATCACGGCAATATGCCTGATGATTTATTTTAATCCACAAATAGAAGTTAAAATGTCAGTGATGACTTTTAATTGAAAACCACTCATACATTTTATATTAAAATCGTCATATACTTGTACAAACAGAAAAAATCAACAGTTTGCCAATTTTGACCTAACAAAGAAGCTCAGAACGAACTTATCATAAAATACTTTCCGAGTTCTGTAAAGCAAAGCTTAAATTTAGTTTAGGTACTTAACGGATCCGATAATTGAAATTTATTATGAATTGAATATACCTATTATTCAGTTTTCAGACATAACTTATAACTGTGAAGCGAAAAACCTACTGGAGTCCTTTTTTGTTTAGATTGATACAAAAAATCTGAAAAAAACGTGTACGTGTTTGAGGAATGTCCCTTAATGTAATATAAAGAGGTAGCCGCTCGGTAACCGTAATCAAGTTTCCTGACCATTTTTTATTAATCTACTAAAGACTACCTTTTGCTCCTACAAGTTTTTCTTCAGTTTTTTCTTGATCATTCTTAAGAGGAAAGTAAATTTTGTCTAAGGTTGACCGTCCTAGAGTCATAAGCCTGACAACCCCTAAAATGGGTATATCACTGTTTAAAAGCTTGAAAATTATAATTTTTCAGAAGACCAAGCATTCAGATTAAAACTAAAATATAGCTCTACAAGACTATTCATGCAAGTTCAAAAACATACTTCATTAATTGAACTCAAAAGAAATATAAATTCATATTCATTGGCACGTGCGCATATAAGTAAAACATGCGCACAAGAGGAAGACGATTTCGTGAAGTCAATCTCGCAAAGATCGGAAAAGGCATAGGTCTTTTTCAAAACCTCGACAAAAGAATCCTAGTTAAACCGAGTACAATATATCAAAAAATTATTTGTCGACTTATCCGGGTAATTCGTGTCAAAACCGACACAATAAGTTCCATTTCAGATCCCTTTTCAGCCTTTGAACTACACAGAGCATTATTAATTCTGGTGAAAATATTCCAGAAAGACTGATTTTCAGATATAATTTTAAAATTAAAACCAATCAGTGATTGCCTAAGCCGTTACGGAAGCTGTCGCACTTTTTAGACGAGTCTGGTTTAATTAGAGTGGGCGGACGTTTAAGGAATTCTAAGCTTTCCTTTGATGCAAAACCACCTGTATTGCTGTCTAAAAATCATAGATTAACAGACCTTATCATTGAGCAAACACATAGGGATCATTTACATCCAGCACTAAACACGATTCAATACCTAATTCGTCAGAAATTTTGGGTTTTACCTTCGCGCAGATCTATCCAAAAGGTCTTGTCACAATGCATTCGATGTTTTCGCCAAAAACCCAAAACGTATACCCCCTACATGTCGGATATACCATATTTTCGAACCTCACAATTAAAATGTTTCTCCCACGTATGCCTCGACCCTCGACTATGCAGGTCCAATAAAAAGCTTTGTAGGACAGCGGCGTCGCGGTGCGCCAGCCTCAAAATCCTACATAGCCGTCTTTGTTGATACTTGTGTTAAGGCAATTCATATTAAATTTGTTTCTAGTTTAACCACAGAAGCTTGTATTGCTGCGTTAAGACGTTTTGTAGCCAGACGGGGCTCTTGTATATAGATCACAAGTGATCAGGGTACAAATTTTGTAGGGGCTATTAGAGAGCTTCACAATCTCCTTAAGGCTGCGGCCGAAGCTTAAAGATCAAATGGAACTTAAATAGTCCAGGAGCTTCCCATCTTAACAGTTTAGCCGAAGCGGGAGTTAAATTCATTCAAATCCATTTATATCGAGTCATCGGAGACCAAATACTAACCTTCAAAGAACATATACCCTTCTCACTCAAATAGAAGCATTACTGAATTCTTGCCTCCTTTGTGAACAAAGTTCGGACCCTAATGACTTATCACCACTAACCCCAGGGCATTTCTTAACCACAGAACCTTTAAATTCATGCCCAGATCCTGATTTATCATCCCTTAAACAAAACACTCTTAGTCGTTGGCAACTCATTCAGAGATTACATTCAGATTTCTGGAAACGCTGGAAACTCGAATATCTCAACAACTCTCCAGCAACGTTGCAAGTGGAACGACCCATCAACGGAAATTAAGTTAGTAATAATGAAAGACGAGTCAACGCCTCCACTGCGTTGGTTGTCGGGACGCGATTTGTTTTTTTTTGTAACCACTGAGTTACAAATACTCATTTATTCAATTCAATCCTATAATTCGTCTACTCGTATACATGTTTATATCTAATCATTCACTTAATCCAAATAATATTTCGATACTTTGTTTTTTGTCAAAACTCTTATATTCTGTTTTGTATAAAGTCAAATCAATTCAAGAATTAATTTAACTCAAATACTATATTTTCGATACTTTGTTGTCATTATCTTGTACTGAATAAACTTTATATAAAACTCCGTTTTAAGTGGGCGGAAATGTTCATGCAAATTCAAAAACATACTTCATTATTTGAACTCAAAAGCCATACAAATTCAAATTCTTTGGCACGTGCGCATATAAGTAAAACATGCGCACAAGAGGAAGACGATTTCGTGAAGTCAATCTCGTAAAGATCGGAAAAGGCAACGGTCTTCTTCAAAACATCGACAAAAGAAAAAATCCTAGTTAAACCGGGTATAATATATCCGCTAAGGCAAGTGTGGTGAACCTAAGAAGAAGCTGTGAAGAGAGAGGAGCTCCTCCAGACCAGGCGACAGGGACACCCAGATACGTGCCAAAACTACATTGTCTTTGTATGGCTCGGGTGTCGATTACCTTCTTACCTTAATTATATCTGAACGCGCGGCTCTACACCATTTAGAATCAACTTAGCAATAATAAAGACTGCGGAAAGTATCTAATAGTTTATTTTAAAGCGATTTTTGTCTTATTTGTTAACTCAAAATTGGCAATCCTGATTGATTTTCTCTGACCATACATACCATCAAGTATTCCACATGAAATCATTCCAGATGGTAGCAAAAGCAAAACACCTCCCCAGTCATCAAATTTTCTGAGCCTACGTCATGAGAACGACTACAAGTATTTCTGTTTACAATGAACAAGCATTCATACCGGAGTAGTTGGATGTAACTGGTGTCATGGCGCTATTTATCAATTTATTGTTGGAAATTAAGAGCAAATTGGTTTAAACATTCTTAAACATAGTCCAAAGTAAGCTGTGAACCAAGTTTCGATGTTCATAAGACCTCCATATACAATTCACTTCCACTGCTGCGAATGAACAGTTTCCGCGCCAGTAAAGCAGGACACAATGTGCGTGCTTTTTGCTAGTACATTAACGCGTTCTGACTATCTTGATTTGTCGGCCTTTGAAAGTCGCAAGCAAAATGCACGTATTCCCTTTAAGGGTGGACATGAGATGTGTGAAATATACACGTACACACATCAGTTTAATTTTAGCCGTCGGCTTGATGTACCGAAAGCGCTAGCGTGTGAACGCCACCCAGTGTTGCCAGTCACAAAAATTTGAAGTCTACAAGATCTGGGTTAGAGAAGTTGAACTTTGTTTTTGGCAGGAGTACTATTATCGTTAGGGTGAAGCAGGAAAATTTCCTACTGGTGAGAAGTTCCTGCTAATATTCGAGCCATCAATCTTATGACGAATATTTGAATGAAAAATACTCTTCAATTGTAGAAGTAACTTGGTAGATATATAATGTTCTAAATATAATCTCCGCCACCATACATTTGCGATCGCCTTGACAAAAGAATTATTGTAATTCATTTAACCTTAATCATATCCGCAACCATGGATGTTATAGATCTTTCAAAGCCACCAGCTTCTGCGTCCAGGAATAGCTCACAGTCTTTCGTATGCATATAGAACCCATTTTTTTATGTATAACAAAAGGCAAAAGCTGCTATAAGGAGCTTGAAGAAACTTTGTTAATACGATTCCGCCACTGTTTAAGGTTAGAAGAACATGGAGACGCCACCTCAAGTAGATTGTTCCATAATATTGAGGCCCTGCGGACAAGGGAGTCGTCGTATTGGCCAGTTCTGGGTGTAACGAAGTTCGACTCGGTCAGGATTGGAGGCCGAAGCCAGGCGGGTATGTCTAGCAGGCACATCGCCCGATGACATCATGGAGGAGAGCTCCGAGGCGCCAAACCCGTTAATATAGTGGTAGAAGAGAGCTAAGTCACCGTCGGCCCGCCGGTAAACATGAACAAGAACATATCTTGAGTTCCATAAACAAATTTTGTCATAGAAATTAACTAATCCATGCAAATTCTATAAGCTGGAAACAACGTCCTCTTCTTTGATTCGGATAAAACGATCCGTTTTTGTGAGAAGCCGCAGAGACGACAATACAGACAATTAGGAGAAAGTCGGGTATGCTGTACCGGTCATTGAGTTGTACCAGCTTAATATTTCCTGAACTAACGCCATCTATTTAGTTTGTTTGCCACCACCATTTGTAGAATCTTCATAATTGCTCATTTGTGAAAAATTGTTTTCGTAGTATTATACAATCTTAGTTAAGCCTTAATTTCCAAATAATAGCTATCTGCTAGTTCGGGTGGCAATTATCGTAATTATTGACTCTGGCGAGTAAAATTTAAACTTACCACACTCCTTAAAGCCAGCTGGTTTGCTAAATGGTACCGGTAAAATATAACAAACTCGTATGTTATGCTTCAGTCATGCCTCACAATGGTTCAAAATATGGAAAACGGAGCAAGAGAAACATGAAATCGGCAATAAGACTATGTGTATACAAAACGGGAAATTTTGCACTTGTCGAGAGAAATGTTCTCAGTTAGTCGAAGGGATAATTTTCTGTTTTATCAATGAAACTTTTCATTTATACGTAAATTTTGTGTTAGAGTAATACTTTATTCCGCCTTTGTTCCTCTTTTGTGATCTCTGTGTTGTAAGTTGGATAATTAAAACGTATAAATCGTCACGATGTTTTGATTCACACACCTGTTCTGAAAAAGCTTATTATCCTGAACTCTGAGATTTCACATCAATCTTAAGGACTACACAGTCGAGCAAGTTCGCAAACATTTCAGGCCGCGCCTCTCACTGTGATCTAAATCAAATTGTAAATTCAGACCAGCCAAAATTATTTCAGTATACAAAACCGATCAAAATTATTTTTTGGAATTACAAAATAATTCGAGGAGTCAAAGCAATAATGATTAAGCTATTTCAAATGATTTACTTCTTTTCTTTGCTCTATTTCTTCCTTCCTTTCTTTCCTTCTTTCCCTTTTCCCCTCAAACATGTTTGGTATCTGGGTAGCCAGACCTGACAGACAAACAGACCGACGAGGCTTTTAACTAAGAGCAAAGGTCCACCGGACCGCTCTGACGAATAATTACGAGTAGTATATCAATCTTAAGTTGTACATTTTGACAGAATTTTACTTTGAAGTTTCAATTCAATCAAGTCATCAGGAGTTATTTAATGAAATATGTTACGTAATACAAATTACCCGACTTTACCCTACTACTAATAGTTTGCCAAAGCTTCGGCACATACACTAAAAGTACAAATTGTCAATCAGCGGTGATTAGACATATTCTCAAGCTACCAGCAATAGCGAGCTCTGCAAAATCGCTTAAATAGAGACTGGTTGAACTGAATCTGTTTGCTTTTCGTCTTAACAGTGATCAAGCACATACAACGTAATTTCATGCTTTTTAGCAATCACCAGTAGAGTTTAGATGCGTGAAAACAGTCAAACGAAAGGAAAACGTGAGGTTATGGTGTACTGAAAAGTAGTATGTTATGTGCAAAGAGATGACAATACGGAAAGCTGCTATCTACAAGGTAGTTCGCCAAAGTTTTACCATTTCATGAAAGGGTGAATGCCGCCCTCCACCACTACAAAGACGATTAAAGCCTATTACAATAGTATCCATCATGTATTGATGTCTGCTAAAGTTAACAGCTGATCAACAAATGACATATTTATATTAATCTGCAACCGTGGGCAATGACGAATCGGGTGCAAAACTAGCGGTTTGTGGGTCGCATGCTTAAGCAGTCAACATTCAGTTCAGCCTATGTCCACACCCGCTTGTCTACTTTCTGTTCGCCAGTTCCCATGCGACTTATATGGTACTTACGATTGCTAAAAAGAATGAAACATCGTTTTACGATGATTCTTTTACCGGACTTACGATAATTTAAAGCTGGCACCAGTTTGAGTATCAAAATTGAAAAACTAATTTTGTTAATACGAAACACAGTACATTTTGCTAGCGAAAGGATCGGGCTTTCTAAAGGTACGATTTTTAAGGGATGATTACCTAGTGTGTTAAGGAATATCCAA